CAGCACTTGGTCCTGATTCAGAATCTCTGGTCTGAAACGAACTTATTTACAAAACAAAAACACTCTCACAGACATAGAAAACAAACTTATAATTACCAAGGTGGGAAGGGGGTGGGAAGGGATAAATTGGGAGTTCAAGATTTGCAGATACTAACTAATATATAGAAAATAGATAAACAAGTTCATACTGTATAACACAGGGAACTGTATTCAATATCTTGTAGTAATCTATGGTGAAAAAGAATATGAAATGAATATATGTGTGTTCACGTATGACTGAAGCACTATTCTGTACACCAGAAATTGACACAACATTGATTATACTTCAGTAAAATATATATATGAAGAAAAAAATAACGTTTTCAAAATGTTTGCTGAGAGTGCTTAATTTTATTCCATAAAAACACATAAAGAAATATTGAGAGAAAAAAAAAGAACCTCTGGTCTGGACTGATTCTAAGTGCGAGAACCATAGGCTTTCTGCTCATAACACAGTAGGCATTCAACTGATGCTTATTAAAAGGAGCATGAACAAATCTGAGGAAGAATTCAGTAAATTAGAAGACTGAAAGCTTACGTGGGTGATACCTGCCCCCAAAAGTGGAACTAAAAAGACACCAGTTATATTGCGGGGGGAGAGCAATAATGATAATAAAGGAGGTCCTGGTAATTCTCCAGAAAAAAAAAATGACACAGAGAATGATCTTGGAAACATAAACAGATTCAGATGAGGTGGTTAAGAACATGGATTCTACAATCAGATTAGCTGGGATCCAGTCCTCACTCTGCCACTCACTAGTGATGTGATCTCGGGCAGTAACAGCCACTCTGCACTTTCATCATCAGCACATAGAATAGTGCCAGGTACAGAGAAAGTTCTCAGTAAAAATTAACTGTTAAATGGTGGCATCAAGATGTTAAAGCACAGACTGCGGGTGATAAAGAAAGAGGACTGGCAATTTCAGTGCAATGATTCTGCTGTTGTCTAACAGATATCACCAAAACCTGGAGGGCTGAGACCCACCAGTAGTATTTGGTAATGTTAAAAAGAAAAGAAAAGAAAAGAAAAGAACATTAACAAAGGAGGTGGGACCATATGATCATAAAATATAAACTTGAGTGGAAGTTCAGGAACCTCACAGGAAAGAAGCGGGTAGAGACCATTGGGTGAGAGCTCAAATAGAGACAGAAATGTGCCTACGACTCTCTCACACATCACACCGTGGGTCATGGTGCTTGTTGAAGGTTAACGGTCTAGATTCACCACTTCTCTCCTTAATTTACTGTTTTAATACCTGACCCTCTGATCCTTGGCTTTCCTTGGCTCTTGGTAGCTGCTTCTAGCCCCTCAGTTTTTGGTGAAATGCTGAGACTTCTACTTCTAGCTTATTGAACCAAGCTTCCTTTATCCAAACACCTAGTTTCAGCTTCCTCTGCAGTCCCAGTATGGGATGTTTTTGTGTCTACAACCCCATCTTAACAGCTGAACCAAAAGCTAGCTCCCAGGGGGATTTGGACAACATGAGCTGCTTGGTCCAATGAAAGGTGTGGATGGGGCTTCCCTAAAGCAAATCACAAAACGGGAGCACAGGGAGAATATAGCTGGGAAGGGGTACTTCAATTAGCCAGGTCTGAGAAACTCTACCTCGTTTAAAGAAGAAGGCCCACGTGGCTCAAGGTGAGAGGAGTAAACGAGGGGGACGGCTGCGGAGCGAACCACAAAGCCTGTGATACGAAAGTGACAGAATATTTGGGGGAAAATCTTTGGGTTCATATCAAGAGAAAGACAAGAATGCCGAATGCTGTTATTTAGGGCTGTAGGCTTATGAAAAGTCCATTTCAGAAAGTACAGAGCAATGAAGGACCTTTTCCCATTTACCAGAAACTGTAGAAAGGAAATACAGCATAAAATGCCTAGCAAGCTCTCAGAAATGAGAATTGGAGGCTGTAACTGTAAATGAGGAAGAAATGAGGAATAGAGGGGTGGGCACTGTAACCAGCTTGCTCTCTGCTCAGCAAAGACAAAGAAAGGATGTGAACAAGTGATGGAAGTAAGGGGGCAAAGGCAGAAGTGTGAATCAAAGTAGTGCCAAGTTGGCTAGGTGCCAAGTTGGCTAAGTGCCAGGCAGAGAGACATTTTCTGGGAAATACTATTAAGCATAAGATGTACCAATCAGAGAACAAATACACGGCTCAGTGAAGACAGGGGGATGTTAACAGATGTCAGAGAGAAGGCACAACTATTTTATCTCTATTTTTGCTTCCATATTTCTCACCAAAGGAATATGATAAACTAAAAGCATCAGATAAGCACCCTTAAAAAAGACATGGTGCCCAATATACGTGGAGACTTTAAGAGCGCACTTAGATTTTTTAAATTTGTTCAAGTGATCGAATCGATCAAGGTGAATTTTGTCCCATGACCCTGAAATAATCTGCAGATGAGATTGTGAAACCCTGGTTGGTAATCTTTTGGAAACATCACAGGAAACCAGAGCAGAGCTGGGGCACTGGAGACAGGCAACCAATGATCCTGGTTCTCGAAAAATGCACCTCTCTGAGGTTGACTTTGCTCTCGGGCAAATTTCTGCATCTCTTCTGGAGTCGGCTATTGACAAGAGGACCTCGAGCAGTGGTCCCTGAGAGGAGAGTGAATACTCAAGAAAACTAGCCTCTTTCCCTTTTGAGAGATTTCTCATCTAAGAAACTGGTCAGTGCTATGGACGCAGGATGTGGAGAGTCACGAGGCATTTGACAGCGGCTGTGCCCCTCTGTGGAGGGGATGGAGAAATGTAAATGGATGATGTCACAGAAGGGTTCATACTTGGCTGAACGATGGTTTGATGTCAACAGTGTTGATTGATTTTCTCATTGTGCTCTGCTTGGCTTATTCTGTTCAGTACTTTAATCAATGATGTACATACAGACAGAAGGCAATGTTTATCAGATTTGCAAATAATAGAATAAAAGTTTAAAAATAATGTGACAAGGAGAGAAGGCATATGTGCAATTTAATAAGAATTTTTTAAGTTTCCAAAATGACAAAAAAGGGAAACATCACTTTAAAAGTCTTAAGGCTTTTTTTTCCAACTGAGTGCAAGTTTATGAGTCATAAGTGATTTCTCCCCTAATTCCTCAGAGCCTATGATTTCGTAAGCATTAATAATTCTTATATAATCACTGTGGCAGCAACAGCCACAACAAAAAATAAAAAGAAACCAAAAGGTCATTGCTTCTTTCGGCTGGCTCTAAGTACATAATTAAAAGATGTTCAGAGTCCTAATATTTCCCAACACCACTCCAGTAACATTGCAACTGCATCAAAATCACCCACTCAAAGACTGTCTGAATAAGAATGTTCTACCCAAACATACGTTACAGGAAAGTGAGCAGAAACAATTGGTATGGTGCCAAGAATGTAAGAGTCACATGGAAATTTCACTTAACGTTTCTGGCTGTCTGCCTCAGTTTCCCCTCCCACTAAGTAGGGACAAATAATACTTGCTAACATTGCCTGAGAGGCATGAACCACGGAGATCAGCGAGTCAATTTTTGGCAGGCCCTTTAGCCTAATTCCTCCGAAAAAGAGGCTTGAGCACCCTGCTCCTGTTGTCAAGGGCAGTACTCACTCCACAGCGTCAGAGGTTCTGGACTCCCCACTCAAACTCCCATTAGCTGCTCTGAGGTGGCTCCAGGTGGCCCCTTAGGAGAGTGAAGATGCTCATCCCCATGTCTGGGTGCAGAACTCGCATGGCTGCCGTGGCCTTTAGCAATCCTTTCCTAGAAGCAGAGAACACAGAGGACCCCGCCTGAAAGCTGAGAGTAGGGCGCTCTCAGAAGTGGAGCGGAAAGTTGGCATAGCCCGTGGGGTATCAGCTGGAAGTGCTGTGACTGTTCATGTGCAAGACGCCAAGGGAAGCTTTCTGGGGAGACAGTCCACTGAGGTCATCAGGGGAGGAAGTCCTCAGAGTTAACCCAGGGCATGACTTCAAGGGCACAGTTTGGATTCAACCAAGACCACAGAGATGATCTGTTTTTATTTTGTTCTCTCTCTCAATCTGCTACCATTTGGGGGAAAAAACTGAGTTGGAGGGATTTGATGGCAAGTTTTCTGTCCATGAAGAAAGCTCCAGAGTTCTCACTTCTCATCTCCTGTTCTGACGTTGGAGGGTTATCTGGTGCTTCATTCACTTTTGGACATTTTAAATAATGTAGCTCAGGACTTGAGTTAAAAATCCTATACAAACTCGGCCCTGACATGAAGGTGCCCAGCTGTGTGCCGGTGATGGTGGGAAGGGCTTCGTGGAGGCAGAAGGCCAACAGGCCAGTGGTGTTCCTCCCCTCCCCTGCCGCTGGCTCAGCGGTCTGCCACCAATTTTGCCACACCAATTGGTATGGCCTGTACACCAATGCCTTATGGCATGGGAGGGTATTTTTAGCATGAGGCATAATTCTTGCCCACAAAGGGTTTATAACATTCAGCGTATACTGTCTTGGCTAAAGACTATTACATAGCATGCCAAGTTCAAATATCTAAGTCATAAAAGTACTTTTTTCTAGCTAGAATTAGCAGCTTGGCTGTTTGCACAGAACAAACACAAGATATGCAACCTTAATTTTTAAATTTCATTATAGGAAACAAGATAAATATGCATTTCCATGCTCTGTACATAGGACCCAAAGCCTTCCTGGGGGGAGGATTCCCCCTTGAGGCAATTAGATGGTCTGAAGTGACCCAGACAGGGCATCACTCCCTCTGCACCACCTTCCCTCACATATAAATGAACTGTAATAAGCTTCAAATAATAATAAAGCCACAGAAGGAAAAAAAGAAATTAAGAAAAGGTTAACATTTCTTCCTGTAAAAGGGGCAGAGAGCTTCACCTGCCATCTTTGTCATCTAAAACCATAAGCCATGGCCCAGACAACTAAAGGAGCCACCTAAACTCATATTTATTCTGCACTCATCAACATACACTCTTACCTGAACTAGGTCAGTCCTGGTTGGGTGCTTCCTGTGCCTTCTAAGGTGGGGGCAGCAGCCCCATCGAGATAGCAGGTGGGCACCAGGCAGGCAGGGACGGAGAAATGACTTCAGAGTTTGCACAGTGAAGCTGAGAGGAATTGGCACAGTGACAGCAGCAGTTCCCCCCCCCCAAAAAAGGAAAATGTATTTAGATAATTATAATGGTATGCATATACTTTGCTATGCATATAATTAGTTGAGTACATTTAAAGTTGGACCATCACACAAATGATTTTGAACTTGAGTATGGTTACTCAAAAATAAATATTCTAATATTCAGAATTGAAAAAGCCAATTCCACCTCCTAACTATCCTGTTGGAAATACTTTTGGAGTTGAAACAGTCTCTATTTATTCCTATGTCCTTATCAGTTTGTTACTTGTTACGGCTGGTCAGAGAAACTCGTTACCCTTCAGACAATCTCTAGGTGATCTGTGATCTTATAAAGACTCAGAGGATATAAGGAATGAGTTAAAAGAGATGACGTTGAAGGCAAGTCATTCAAGTCATTCACTAACTTCGCCAGAGTGGAAACTCCATGAAGGCAGGTAACTTTGGTTCTCAGTGCCTGGGATAGGGGAAGCCTGATACATACAGATTGAGTGAATAATGAGGATGACTGGGCATTCCCCCAAATGTTCAGGCTGCTGAATGCTTATGGAATTCATTATCCCTCTCAAGAGGAGAAAGAGACTTGAGTTTGACCCTGAACATGGTCATCTGTCCTCAGGAGGGTTATTAGGGAGGGTGAAGACAGGCTTTTAGACCTCTCCTGGGTCTCTCTTTTATTTTAATTCACACAAAATCAGGGAAGGAGGAGGCACCTAGAAGGCATACAAATCAACAAAAATGGAAATTTTCTATTATATGATTGGATCCTTCCCAATACCACTTTTTTAAAACAAAGAAACATAAGATGATTGGTAAAGAATTTGATACAACCTTGGGTGTTCTGCTTAAAAAAAGAAAAAGAAATCTCTAGTTGTCCCCCCCCACCAAATGCTTAAACTTTTGATTCATTCATAAATTGATGTTGGAATGAGCAGAAGGGACGTAGTGAATTAGTGCTGGTTTTCTGGATGGACATGGGACACATCCCAATACTGTCATGACGCCTTCATCCAGTCACATGAATGAATGTGAAAATGTCAAAGTGAAAAGAATGTACACCAACAAAGTACTGCCCACTGAGTTCCTAACGGCACTTTTCAAACTTCTTTTTTTGGTATTAAAACAAATAAAAATCAATGTCTCCAAGGGTACTTCTCTGGATACTGGCTTTCATTTCTTGCCTGGTTGCAAGTTTAGGGATGTTTTCTGGGCTCCAAACTTGTCCTAAGGTCAGCCTACAGGGGGCGCCTGTCTGTATTATTGTGACTGAACTTCGGGAATCAGAATAATCTCCAGGAGGGATACTGACCAAGAGGCTGAAGTCCCCTTGAATTTAGGTTTCTCAGTGTGAGTCAGGTGTCTGGGAGTGGGGCTCAAAAATTCCACAAGATTAAACAAGATCTCCAGGGGATCATTTTCCTTGCTTAAATTCGGAAACCATTGTCCTATACCATTTCACTTGCAAGACAAGCCACTGACTTTAATCTCACTCATGATCAAAATGTTTGTAATGAATCCTGATAGGAGGAAAAATTTCTCTAAATGCAAGAGAGACTGCAAAGTTTCCCGAGTTTATTTGCTTTGCTTTCCCAAACAAACAAAATGATACAGTTTTTTCTCAGGTAGAATAATAAATTTACTTCCAGGTTTGAATTACTCTCAATGACCCCTGCAGAGGGAATGATTATATAGATTGAGGAAGGGTCCCTGCAGCCCGTTACTTCTGAATAATAAGAATCATTTAGAATACGTTTGTTGATCTTGTTTGCCTGAGTTGGTCAAACATCATTCTTTGCAATTATAAAATTACATAACTCTGTATTGTATTTGGCTTCATTTTGGCAAGACAAATGTTTGCCTTCGTTTCAGAGGATAACCAACAAGGGATTTGCATTCTAACACAACACTGGTTTCAGGAAAACAATAAAAGATGATGAAATATTGAATATTATGAACTTTTAAAATTCTCGAGTTCACACTGTTAAATAAAAGTGTTTTAACTCTCATCACTACTTGCAGAACATACACTCTGCTCTCCACTCATATTTGTGGAGTTTTTTAGGGGGAGGGTTGTTTGTTTGTGGGGGAAGTAATTAGATTTATTTAGTTATTTTAACGGAGGCATTGGGGATTGAACCCAGGACCTCGTGCATGCTAAGCATTACTCTAACCACTGAGCTGCAGCCTCTCCCCACTCATATTTGAAAAGTTAAGAAAACAGGACTTTGGCAGCAGTAGACAAAGAGCATTATTCCAGCACCTGCAGGAAAATAGTCGCATGCCCCACTGCCACTTCCCACTGGTGGAGGGATTCTAGAAGGCTTGCCACCACCTCAGGAGGGGGAACATGGCGCAGGGGAAACACAAACCTGGGAGCAGAAAGTGAGAAGCAAGGTCCTAGTGATGCCTGTTAGCTTTGTGACCTCGGGCACATTACATAACTGCCCCGAGCCTCCACTTCTGTATACAGCCCTGTGTGGGGTGCACAGCACACAGGACCATTACGCTCAGTTTCAACCTTGACTACCCCTTCTTTGCCAGTGGTGCTGGAAACAATGATGCTGCGCTGCCCTTCAGGTGCAGTGCCAAGGACAGTGAACAGCAGAGAGCATGTTCCATTGGTGGATTGTGCCTTAGCTAAACCTCAAGAACTCAAAACAAAAGTGGGACCAGAAAATTACTTTGCCCATTGTGTTGAGTGATTTAAGGCAACTTAAAGGAGCAACAGATTAAAATGTAAACTAACTGTGAAAATTTATCCCTGGTTTTCCAGTATGACTTCTCTTCTAGCCTGGCTCGTCGAAAGTTTTATAATTAGTTCCCAATGATCTGGGGATTTTACACTCTTAATTTATGTGTGTTTGTGTGGGGCCATGGAGGGTGGTTTCAGGAGACAGAGGGGAAGAAGGAAGTGGGAGGAAGAAAAATGCGGAAGATGGTAATGAAGAGAAATCGATGCCTGACACTTAGATGAATACTAATGTGATTACCAAATACCTTCTGAAAACATCAATGTAATCAAGTGCCTTTCACCTCGTAATCCTAATATGTCTCACGAGCAGATTCCACCCCCTCCTCACAGGGAACTAAAACTTCACAGAGGTTTGTCACAGTCGTTGAGTCAATCACAGTTCACACACTGGTCATCTGAACCTAATATGCTCTTTCTACCATGTTTTCTTTCTCTATATACATTTAGAAACTGCAGTGTGAAAAACTTACTTATCTTCCATTCATGAAGAAAACAAGTTCGCCTGACTCCTTAGGATGAGACGTTGTGCCAGAATACTTGGCTGAATGCACAGAAAGCACCCGCTGCCATGTCTGCCTGAGACAGGGGCTGAGATGCTCCCATGGGAGGACCACCAGCTGGACGGAGGGCAGCCCTGAGGGGCGATTCTGCTCTGCTCTCTGAGTGTGTTTCCTCCAGCCAAATCCTGTTGGCCTATGCTCTCAACTGTCCTATTTCCCTACCTTCCTCTGCTACCCCCACTTTTCTCCTCTGTTAAGCCAATTTGGAATGTCAATCTCCGTTTAGTTCTTTCACAACGCACACTTCTCCCTGTCCTGGGGGTGACTCACTGGAATAAAATTTCTTCTTACAGCCAGCTTCAAGAGCCTTCTTTAGTCTTTCTTCAGTGAAATGGAACTGAATCACGTAGATGTAATGCATTTAGGTGCTTTTTTAGGGGTTAATTTATTTGTTTTTAAATTGTAAAACTAAAGCTTATTTAAAAAAAAATCAGAACTACAAAAGTGTATGAAGTAAAAGTGAAAATCCTCCTTCCCAATTTCCACTTTTCAGCATTAACTATTACCAGATTCCTCTGTACCTATACAGAATTTTCCCACGCACGTATGAAATATATGTACATACATGAATCTAGAAAGTGAAATCAAGTGATTCATACTATTTCAAAATTTGCTTTTTTTCCAAGTTACTTAGGCCCTCTGTGCCTCAGTTGTCCATTCTGTGAAATAGACAAAATAATAGTATCTCTCCAGGGATTGCTGTGAGGAGTCAATCAGCTAATACACGTAAAGTACTTAGAACAGCACCCAGCACCTGATAAGTTCTCAATAAATGTTAACTATTTTTATTATTGCTGTAATTTATTAAACTGTCCCCTATTAGTTTACGTTGTTTTCCATTATTCACTATTACAAACAATACTGCGATGAAAACCCTTGGGCTTTATCGTTGCACATTTGAGCAAGTGTTTCTGTTGCACACATTCTGGGAACTGGAATTCCTGGGTTGAAAGGTCTGCATGCTGTGAGGTCTAAGTTGTCTTCCAAAATGTGCACTAATACAATGAATCAGTATGAGTGTCTGTTTCCCGTATCCTTCCCCAACGCTGAGTATCATCCACACTTGCCATCGTTCAAATATCTGGGGCAAATTGGCATTTCTTCAGTTGTTACGAGGTTTTCCATCTTGCTATACTTGGAAAAGACTGAGACTTTGTGAGAACCAAAAGAATGTGCCGTCCTACCGTCTGTGTCACCACAGCATCCAAGACGAGTCTTTAAAAGATGTCAGTTCATGTTACTTCTTTGCTCTGCATTTCACTCCAATTAAAAGTCCTCACAATGGGCTCAAGTTTCTCCACGTCTGTCCCTCCTCAAGCCTGCTCCAGGCATGCAGGCGTCCTGCTGTTCCCTGACAGTCAGGCACCCTCCTCTCCCCTTGGGGGACCTCACTCTCCAGCTTTCTCTCTAACATGCACTTCCTCCAGGTGCCTGCTTGGCTCAGACCCTCGGCATCCTCGTTCCCTGACCTACTCCACTGCAACCTGCTCCAGGCCTCCCTCACCCTCCATCAGACCTTCACTGTTCCTCAGCACTCATCACCGTCAGCCACACTCCACAGTTGACTTACTATATTCAGTATCTTCTGTCTGTCCCCCCTGACTAGAATATAATCTTCCCAAGGGCAGGGGTCTCTGCTGGCTAGTTTACTGCTAGATCCGAAGTCACTAAAACAGTGCCTGCACAGAGTAGGTGCTCCATGGCTGCCTGGGGTATTATGAGAAAATCTGCTCTTAAAAGGGATTTAGTGTGACCACATGTAACCACGACCAGAATGACCTTCGCCTTCAGTCCAAGGCCACTGGAGAAGCTTTGCCAGCCCCGAGACAAGAGTCCCTGAGTTGGGAGTGTGACGGGGAGAAGGAATGACACACTAGCCTCTAGCGCTTTGTCCCTCAGTGCTGACGCTTCTCTCTGCCATGAATGGAAACGGAGTTTTTCAGTGAGTATGTCTTGCTCTTCAGTCCCCGTCGATGTTTCCTATCACTGAAGTCCACTGGGATACATTTCTTATGATTTCTCACAACTTTTCAACATTTTCTACCTTAACTGTGTCTCTCCATATATGCTATTTTTTTGAGATGTAATTCACGTACCATAAAATTTACTCTTTTAAAGTGTATAATCCAATGGGTTTTAGTATATTCACAGGTTATACAACCATCATCACTATCTATTCCAGATCATTTTCATCTCCCTGAAAAGACATCTGTACCTATTAGCAGTCACCATCCCTTTCCCCATAGGTCCTGGCAATCACTAATCTACTTTCTGTCTCTGTGAATTTGCCTATTCTGGACATTTCATGTAGATGGAATCATACAATACGTGGCCTTTGTGCCTGGCTATTTTCATTTAGACAGTGTTTTCAAGGTTTACCCATGTTGTAGCATGTAAAGGTACTTCATTCTTTTGTATGGCTGAATAATATTCCCTTGTATGGATATACCACACTTTGTTTATCACATTTTGTTATCAGTTGATAGAGTCGAGTTGTTTCCACTTTTGGCTATTATGAATAATGCTATAAACATTGGTATATGCCTTTTTGTGTGAACACATGCTTTCAGTTCTCTTGGGTACATAAGCAGAGTAGACACCTCCACCTTGAGGAACTACCAAACTCTTTTTCCAGAGCACCTGCACAATTCTCATTCTCCCTAACAATGGGTACAGTTCCAATTGATCCACATCCTTGCCCACGCTTACCCACCAACCCACCCATTAGCCATGAGTGTGAAATTATATCTCAGTGTGGTTTTGATTTGCAGTTCCTTAACAACTAATGAGTTTGAGCATCTTTTCATGTGCTTATTGGCCATTTACATGTTTTTGGGGAAATGTCTATTTAACTCCTTTGCCCATTTAAAAATTGGGTTATTTCTCTTCTTATTTTGAGTTGTAAGAGTTTTAAAATACATTCTGCACATTAGATCTTTAACAGATATATGATTTGCCAATATTTTCTCACATTTTGTGGTTTGTCTTTTCAATTTCCTATAGTGCTTTTTGAAGCACAAAGGATTCTAGTTTTGATGACACACAATTTATCTATTTTTCCCTTTGGTCCCACAGACTCTTTAGATAGAGTATTTGGATCCATTCTGACAAGAAAAGGAGGGTGATAGCATATGGGGACAAATGAGAAAATGACAATTTTATAGTTCATACTAATAAAATTATTTAGAAAATTGCCTTTCACTAGAGAGTATAATTTCTGTTGGTGAATACAAGCCAACCATGCATCACATACAAGTCATAATCGTCCATTCCGTTCAGCTGGATGGATTAAAGGGCTAGACTAATGGGGAGTATCATTCCAGAGGAAACCAGTTAGCCTTTATACCATTTAAAATATGATTTCTAAATTGCTTAAGCATATCTATCAAACTCTAAATGGAACATTTAAAATCAGCATCCTCTAAAAGCAATATTCTATGAAATGATTTTTGAACTGTGAAAATTTGTCTTCCAGACCCATCATCATAAAGCAGAGACTGCACAGATTGCTGTGTTGGGAGAGTCACCCCGTCTTCTCCCAGAGTTTGCATTTGATTCATATGGGTACACTCCAAGGAACATAGGATCCAGGTTCATCTCTTGGAATCTGTAATAAAAGGACAAATTTGGATATTTGCAACTGGCAAAATGTTTGTGACAAGTGAAAAAGAGCAGACTATAAAATAGGATAAAACTACCCAGAGGGTGACCAGGCAGTGAGAGATCTGGCAATGAGAGCATGAGAAACAAGGAGGAACCCAGGAGAGACCAAGGGCAGGCAGAGCGGGGCAGCTACGAGAGTCATCATCTCATGCTTGAAGAGGGACAAAGGAAAAGTGGGATCAGCCTCTGTGCTGCTCCAGAGTGAAGAGGCTGTTTGCGGGGCTCAGGAAGAGCTATAAGGGGTGCCAGGAAGAGCCAGAGTGAGAGAAGGTGGAGGAGGGACTCTCTCTTCAACGTAAGAAAGAACCTGTTTGCAGTCACAAGGGTCGCTGTGAATCCCGGGACTTCCTACCATCGTTAGAAATCCTGCCACTGAAAATGTCCAGGGAGAGCTGAGATGTTTGCTCGGCCAGGTGCGAGGGTGGGGCGGGGTGCAAGAGGGATTCCTGCTACCAGGGGTTGGGAAAGGGCCCTTCTCCCCCCGTGGTTCAGATCAGGAGTTGCCCGCACTCCCAGTGGTTCAGGTAGAGTGAGGCAGACTGTTGGAGTGGCCCATATTCTAGGTCTGGGTGTCTTATGTTCAGGGCAGTTCCTGAACTTCTATTCCTGACCAACGTGTCCTGGGATGGGAACAAAACCAGGCAGGAACATACAATTGATGAATGAAGAATGAACCTTTTTTTTTTTTTTAATGGTGTAGAACTAAGTCCTGTGGCAGGCAGGCTGCTCTCCTGCTCAAATCCTTCAGGATTCCTCTCACCTTTTCTTCCATGGAAAACCACCATGGTGGGTGAATGAAACTCAGCCACGATGATAGGGGGAAAAAATTCAGAGTTGTCTGAGCAGAACATACCATTTTTGTAAACTTGTCTTCACAGGCCATCCTAATCTTCTCCGGGGTCAGTGGACTCTTGAGCTTCAGAGGTCCAGGCAGGCCTCTCTCCCGTCGCGCTGCATTCACCGCGTCGTGGATGGCAAAGAACACCGAGCTGCCCAGGAATATCCCAGACTCTCCCAGACCCTGGGAGGGAAACAGCTCAACTAGATTACGACTCTCTTTCTCTGTACACATATTACGTATATGTGAATCTATAGGTACCTATGTGCATATATATGACATATTAAATATCATATAACTTTTTTCTTAAAAAAACGAATTTACTATTTTAACCTGGTATTCCCATTCTTAGGATTCCAGCCTAAGGAAATGATCCCAAATGGAGAAAGCAGATACAGGCATGAGGATGATTATTGACATGAAGACGAAAAATCAGATGCAACCTGATGGTAACAGCAGTTTGTGTTACTCTCCATGATATAGAATATTTTTAAAAATTTATAATGTTACATTATTTTAAAATGGAAATGTTTAATAGGGCTTTTTTTTTTATACAATCCTGACAAAAACCCCAAACAACCAAGAGATGAATGTAGCCCCTCCCTCCTGGCCCAGCTATCTTATAAACATGCATTTATTCAGACAGCACAGCTTACCTTAGATGAATACAGGGTATTTGAGTTTTGAGACGGAGGCAACAAAGAAATGTGCAGCTCCGCGGGGACGTCACAGATGGTAGGGATTTTATATTGGTTTGGGCCACGAGTGTACAGGACACCCTGAAGAGAATAATTCAGTTCCTCTATTGTATAAAGTCCCATGCCTTGAATAAATGCACCTTCAATCTGAAGAAAAAAAAAGAATTTCCATATATGAGAAAATACACTTAACAGTAGCATTTCAACTTCATACTGTTAGTCTGAATTTTTAAAATACAGTGTAAGAGGGTTTTCAGCATGTCTTAGGGCATGTCTCCGAAAGTTTACTTAAAAGTTCACTTTCTAAAAGCATGTCTAAAGGACTTGAGTTTGAATCTCAGCCTGTTGTTTAAAATTATAGCCTCAGAGAGCCTGTAGCACAAATGCCCCGATTTTTTTCTGCTTATAAGGCCGATGAAACCCTCTGGGACTGGTTTGCCCGCAGACCCCAGCACATCACGAAAGGCTCTCGGGGCTCCGGAACCCTGTCAGCTCACCACACACCCTCGCTCATGGGCTGGCCGGCCTCACATCTTGGGACTCAGTTTCCTCACTTATAACGTGAAGGGTCTGAACTGTGTGCATTCCGAGTTCCCTTTACAGCTTCAGAATGCTCCAGTTCTTAGATGTCAGCACGTGGACAAAATCACCTTCCCACACAGACTCCTGGTTTCTGGGTTTCTCCGTCATTTCCTTCGTTCCTGTGGCCACATTTTCCCCACCTCTGTCTCCATCTCACTTCTATCAGCAGAGATGTCCTTCTCTACCATGTTAAATGAATCTTCCTCAAACTCTAGACTGCCTCCCAGCCCAAGTCACCTCCACGCACTACCTGTCCTGCAGAGATTCCACCAGCCTGGCCCTCTGCCATGACCTACCCCCAGCCTCACGTCCTGCTCCTGTGACACAGATGAGCGCTGACCTCAGCCTCTCCTCACTGCCAGCCATGAACCCAACGTGTGCTGAATCCCAGGTCTTCCTTTAGGTTGATTTCCTCCACTCGTCTCCCACCCAGAATGCCTCTTCCTGCTCCAACCCTGACTGCCTGGTCCACACCACTTCCTCCCTGAAGCCTGCTTTGACTTCTCCAGCCATTACATCCTTTCCCTTCTCCCATCGATGTCACCATTTGAGGCCCTCTGGTGATGCTCTCAACTGGAAGTAGGGAGTAGGGAGCTGAACTGCCCACAGGGGCTGAGGCAGGCGAGGAAAGTGAGAGAAGCTCCCAGAGAGTGTGTGACTCTAAAGAGGCAGCCAATCGACTTTTCCTCGTGGAAATGTGGCTCCAGTGTTGGCAAATTTCCTGTTTCCAGGAGATGCTAGACAGCTGAATATTCATGTAAAACAGCAGGTGATTTTTCAGTCCGGTCAATTACTTCAAATCAAAAACAAAATGTCTGCGGGCAAAACAGGCTACCCATCGATCGCGGCTGCTGTAACAATTTGGCGTTTGTTCTCTCAGCCCAGCGCTACACCCCCTGAAGCCAGAGCCGGTCAGCACTCAGCACTGCGTGCTTCTTCCAGCCCACAGGTGTGGGCTCACCTCGTCACCCCTAGACTTAGGCCTGCTCCCCGGCTCCCTAGTCAGACCATACGTTTCTTCAAAATCCACCCAGAACACCTTTGTTCCCTTCCCTTTTTTAGATGGTAAGAAATCTGAGTTCTGTGGCTGCCCTGAATAGAAAGATTCTGACTAAGGGGTAGAAAAGTAAGATGAACAAGCCAACGGGACGTTTTCCTAGCAGGTCCCCCAGCAGTTTTGACTTTTACACACAGGAAGTGAGGCCGATAGGTTCCACATACCTGGCCTATGTCAAGGGCAGGATTTATGCTGCAACCAACATCCATGACGATGTCTGTTCTGATGTTCTAGTAACAAGAAAGTAAAAATGTTTAGTTTAATGAATACAGCTTGGGGAGAGAGAGCTGAGAAGCGGTTCCTGTCAGGGTGGTATTGGTGAGGAACCTTTTCTTGGGTCACATTACATTTCAGGAGAGAGAAACAACAAGGTTTTATTATGTCACAAAGTTTACTATGTGTAACTTTCAAAGTTATAAAATACTCAACCAGCTTAAGCACTGATTTTTTTTTTCTTGGAAACGATAGGAGGGAAAATATTTGCTGGACTTTGATTCTGGCTGAGAGATGTAACATACTGAGTTTAATCCACTACCACACACAGAACGTAGGCCACAGAAAACAGGCAATGTCTCTGGCCTCCTGATCCTTGTTGCAAAACTCTGTGGCTACAGCACAGCCCCACATTCAGAGTTCACTGGCGGGGCGACATTTACTGAATCTCAGAACTCAGGGTACATGAGCTAAGAAGTCTGTTATCTGCTATTTTAGATTGTTTATTTTTTAAAGCAGAGGAGAGAATAAATCTAACGTTACAACGTGGTGACCAAAAGTTCCCTGACAACCTACCAGTGAGAAGGAAGACGGCGGGCCCAGCCAGGTCGCCGGTGACACCTTTGCTCTGTACCAGATCTGTATCTTCTTTCATAGGACATGTGGTTCTTGTCATGACAGATTCTATTTACAATTATTAATGGAACAAAGGAAACCCAAGAGTTTCCTTATTTGACCTGGGACTTTCATCTAACATTTTTCTTAAGAAAATCGGATGGTGATCTAGAATGCTTAAGTCTCATAAAACTTCAGGCACGCA